CACTGAATTTTTACTTGTAGATTACAGCACAGCTGCTGAGTGGAAGAAATGTCGGTGTTTGTGAAATGCCAGTTACAGCTGTAAAAATTGATCAACAGGACGTGCTAGAAGGTGATTATTTACACACTGAATTTTTACTTGTAGATTACAGCACAGCTGCTGAGTGGAAGAAATGTCGGTGTTTGTGAAATGCCAGTTACAGCTGTAAAAATTGATCAACAGGACGTGCTAGAAGGTGATTATTTACACACTGAATTTTTACTTGTAGATTACAGCACAGCTGCTGAGTGGAAGAAATGTCGGTGTTTGTGAAATGCCAGTTACAGCTGTAAAAATTGATCAACAGGACGTGCTAGAAGGTGATTATTTACACACTGAATTACAGTTTGTATATTTACAATATATAACTTTAAAACTAAGATCTTAATAGTTCGGTACAAAAAGTTAAATAACTAAAGTTTTAAGTATTTTAATAGACTTGCATCATTCTCTTTTTTACGAGGGGTGGTGGTGTAGGTTTCGACATTTAATCCTGACCCATGAAAAAAGGTTAAAATATAATTCCATTAACAACTGGATGGAAGTTTATCATTCAAATTAAATAAGTGATTCAATGTTTAAGTAAGAATAACATAATACTGACCATTGTTCGATTATAAATATCTTAAAGTTGTATAAACTGTAAAATTCATACTTTAATCATTATACTCTTTTTTTGTTTTGGGGGGGTGCAAAAAATGTGATGTGTTCTGTATATTCTATACTACTAGTACAAGGATACACACCTATATTTACTTGCTAATTTAATACTGTAATCTCAAATCTTGTCCTACCATTTAAACAGTGTGGCATTACTTAATGTAGGATGTTAATCTGTACTAGTTAAACCCTCGGATGGTGATGTTCACGTATATCGGGAAGGAAAGAGAACGGTTTATCACGGGCGAAGAACTGCAGCCTCTCTCGTTTCATTCGTACTACAGGTGATGTATATTTTCTATACTAGTTTTTAAGTTCTGTCCATTATCTACGCATTTGCCTTTTTTTAACGTAATACTGATAGAACTGTGTACGTATTCCATTGAATAATCCACTTGCACACATTCTTCAAACGACTAAACGAACGTCTCTAGCCTATACTCTATCTGCAATATAACTCTTCAAATAGCAATTGGGACAGTTTGCGATTTAAATATGTGAGTGAATATAGGTTGTCTTTATTTGCTATCTTTAACCTAGCTGACTATATAAACATTTTTCTTAGTGGGTAGTGTAAGAGTTTTCATCAGAAAAGTGAAATGAATTTCCAAGTTTTTCTAATATTGGGGGGGGGGGGTAAATACGTCTAAATGAAACAGTTTAGGGTAATTTTACATATCTATATATGGCAGGTTAATTCGTCTGAGGTGAAGGTAATTTCGGGCAAGCTGGATAAGATAGCTTTTGACAGCATCAATCAACCGAAAGTTGTCGGTTTTTTCATGAAGGGAACACCAGGTAAGTATGAAACTGAATCTTGTTTTAAAGATGATAATCTTGCAGACCCAAATAAGCATCGTGCAGGATGAAAAATTTCTCAAAAATTAGTAGTTGTACACGTATGATTATTTGGAACGTTAGAGTATCTTTATTTGTTGTGCACGTGTGATTATTTGGAACGTTAGAGCAGCTTTATTTGTTGTGCACGTGTGATTATTTGGAACGTTAGAGCAGCTTTATTTGTTGTGCACGTGTGATTATTTGGAACGTTAGAGCAGCTTTATTTTCAAAAATCACAATGTTAACTTTCTTAAACCAGATCTCAAATCTAACTAAATAAATTTTGAACGTCCTTTTTATAAATACTAAAGACGTTTCCAGTATCGATGTAATAACACCTCACCAGGTTTTCCTGAAATGTCTAGTCTTCATTAAACTAAAGTTCTTGTTGGTGTGTATAAAAACGTTGTGTCCAACATGATGCTAAACGTTTCACAACCGATCTCGCCACCTCTGGTATCATCCGCTACAACTTTATCTACTACTTTGCAGACTTTCAAGCTTTCCAAGAAGCAGCTGGAGCATTCCTGCCATCTGTTCCATTTTACGTCACGTTTGACAGAACGGTAATTCAGTTTTTTGTTGTTGTTGTTGTTGTTTTTTTAACAATGGCTGGTGTTTTCACTTTTAACCATTCGGTAACAAATGTTTTATTAAATTATCTTGTACAAGTGTGGTGACTCCGTACATTATAAAATAACACTTAATGATCAATATGTTGATAAAGTGATTTATCGCAGGTTGCTAAGCACTTGAAGCTGGATACAGTCGGTCAGATCCATATCGTAAGGCCGTTTGAAAGACAACCGGTTTCTTGTCCTCATAACGCAAGTACCATTTGCATTGTAGATTAAGTCCACCAGGCAATTGTGTTGATGGTTACATTATAACGAGTTAAGAAGTGTGTGTGTGTGATATATTTCAACAATTATAATTCATAATTTTCAATATAAACGTAACGGAAGTTACGTTAATCTCTATTTTAAGTCGTACTTAACTTTATCAGCTGCTATTTGAAAACTATTCGACAAACTAAAGTAGCTATTTTAATGAATGTTTCGTTTGACTAAAACGAAAAAATACCATTGTATTCCATACTTTTTTTTAGTTTTTTAACGACCAATATTTGGGTAAGTTACCCATTAAAATATCATTTAAACAAATGTAACAAGCCTTTTGTCATTTCTAGCCAGCAACTACTACAGAAATCGAAGCATTCGTAAGAAAAAATAAAGGTTCCATTTTGACGAAATTAAACGAACACAACCTTTACGACCCAGAGGTATAGTTGAAAAACATTCAATACTGTACTCGTTGAAATTTTAAATATCCTGAGAAGTTTTTACAATTATTTCTTACGTTTTATTACTTAAAATACTATATGTACTAAAAACCACTAAGCTTCCTTAAGTACCGAACTGATAGTTCTTGTTTTGGTACGTGTATTTCTACGTTTTATCACTTAAAATACTATATGTACTAAAAACCACTAAGCTTCCTTAAGTACCGAACTGATAGTTCTTGTTTTGGTACGTGTATTTCTACGTTTTATCACTTAAAATACTATATGTACTAAAAACCTACTACGCTTCCTTGAGTACTGAACTGATAGTTCTTGTTTCGGTACGTGTATTTCATGTTGCAGCTAATTGACCCAACTAATAAGTTGGTACTCGCTATTGGAGAAGAAGCATCCCCACTAGGGCACTACCTCTATCACCTTTTGACCAAAGTAATTAAGAACAACACAAACAACACGGAGTTTCGGAACCTAAACATCGTGTGGATTGAACCCCAAGTATTTCCCGTCGTGTATGTTGTAAGTTTACTTTAACGTTTCGCGATTAATTTAGTTTGGAATCTGTTTTTTAATCTATTAAACAAAACATAATTAACGCCTAATTATTTGAATTCTATACGTAAATACGTAGCGCCATCTATTGAACTTAAATATTATTTTCTACTTAAGGTAATGGATCAACTACAGTCAGCCTTCGGCGTTCCCCCACAATTGCCCAAGATTGGTGCTGTGAACTTCACGAATGTAAGAATGTAATTCCTTCTGGTTAGATCATAAGTATAACTAATACTGACTTAACATGGAATAGGTACACTGACTACGTATGGGGGAAAGTAAATGTCAACTTTTTATGTAATAAATTTTGTTTGACTTTATATATTCCGTTATATAATAAAAAAAAAAAAAAAAAAAAAAAAATAATCGCATATTGAAACGCCTTACTTAACCTCTGACCCACTATTCTGATTGTCTTGTTCACTAGTTTGCCACAACAGATTTGTTTTAAGCAAGCAATAGCTCCGTGGGGGGTAGCGTAGTTAAAATCGGGTACTGAGTGTATTTCCGGATATTAGTCGCATACTAGTTAGTTTTACCTTGTTGGTGCTGCTTAAACGTTACAGCAAAACGTGTGTTGGAGAGAGTGGGGGGGGGGTGCAGCTTTTCCCTGTTTCCTAGGTGTTACCGAGTAATAATTTGCCCAAGTTTCGGGTTGTAAATTAATAATTCTTGATTTCACCAAAGTTAAGTAAGAGTTCCTCGGCTCTTCCCACTACTCGGAAGATGTGTGAAATGTCATCAAACCACACGTGAATATTCAAACTAAAAACCTGCTTGGGTGAGAAGTGCTTTGGTGAAAGCTGATTTAAACGTCATTTAAGGTAAACATTTTTCTCTAAGTAACTAACTGTTAGTTTGTTTGTTTTTTACTAGTTTTATTATTCCACCTGGTGGATGCTCATTTTCCTACAACTTGGTGTATAAACACTAACATATAAACGTCTTGTCTGGTATTAACTACAGATTTACTCCATAAGTGATTAATCAAGAAGAATCTTGTGTGACAAATCCCACGTAATCATTTATATTATATTATATATGTAGTAGTTTTTGGGCGTGGCCTAGTGGTTAATGTGTGGGATGGTGGATCTGAGGTTTCACGGCTTGAATCTCATTGCCAAAAAATGTTCTAAGTTTTGGGGTCTTAGGTACACCGACACTCAAATTCCACTATTTTCTAAGAGTTGGGAATGGGTGATATTAACTAAATGCTTTCCGTCTAACCTCAGTTACAGGTAGTCTTTGTGTAGCTTTACATTTATAAATGTCTTTTTTTATATACATCTACTGTAAATGACTATACTCTGTGTGTTTCAGAACCTCACCGCATGGTTTAACACAACTCTGTTCAATACCACTGCTGATAAAACGGCTGATGAACAAAACCTCCTGCTTCTACAGGACTGGTTGTACCAAGTGATCAATGACACGCTTGCTCCACAACCCTCGGGTAAAGTATTCCACTATTTAATAAAGATCACACAATTTAAAAACTCCAACAAGCACTATTTCACAATAGTGCATATGTTAATATTAATTAAACCTTCTTGATATGAGAATGGCTTAGTTGGAAATGGTTCAATGCTAGTAGATTACGTTAATTACTGCAAAAAATAACCTGTTTCGATACTTCAAAAAATATTGACTTCTGTCACATATTGGTAGCTTAATTTCCCTAACTTTTGATGACTTGCTTATTTTGGTCAAAAATGTGGTCTTGTATATCTTTTTCTTTTTTTTCCAACCACTACTATAACTTATCTCTCTTTCATTCTCTTAACAAAAACGTCAAAATTCTACGAATGGAACTTATAACATCTCTGATCATTCCAAATGTTGAGCTTAATTAAATGTTGGAGCAAAAATAAGTTTCGCGGGTTTTAGTTTATCTATAAGCACTATAAATGGAACTTTTTGATGAACGTGCACCCGAAATAGTTTACTGTACATCCAGTTTGCATCATGTAGTTTAGTGTCTATGTTAAATCATGGTGATCTCTTTTCGTAGATCAGATGCAGATACAGCCACGATAAGGTGAAGGAGTCATCAGTGAAAACCAGATCATTTTTTCTTAACTTAAACGGTGTCTTCGGAACGGTCCAAAAGAAAACGTTACTTTGATTTAATTTCACTTGTATTTAGCAGATATTGCCTTTCGTCTGCCAGGCCACGAGGACAAGTAACCATTAAAGTAGGTGTAACACGTGATTATTTCTTTCTTTCACCCCTTATACACCTCAAATCGTTAATTTGTGCATCGCTGTTTCTAGGCTTGCAGACCTTTAAGAAGATCCCTCAGTCCCAAATAGTGCCAGAAGGAACTGACGTGGTTCTGGAATGCGTCATCGCCAATCCTATTGGGGACTGCTTGTGGATGAAAGATGGTCACAACATTGGCTTCAACCTCAACCGTTTCCCCCAGTACTCGTGGGTTGGAGAACGACTTAATGGAGATTGTAGTCTTAAAATCACAGGCGTCACCAAAGGACGGGATGATGGAGAATGGGTATGTGAAGTCACTGGAGATGTTGAAAATCCCACGATAACTTCCACACCCGCAGTTATCAGTATAACAGGTAATACATATCTTCTACCATTTAACAGACACAACAACTAAATAATAAATACGTTTCTTTCTATATTTCTCGTAATGTACTGCCGAACGAGTTACACTTGGGTATCGTTGACAATGTATGTACTGAATGTTATGGTAATTCCTAAAAAAACTTCACGAAGGACTTCAGTAAGTGTTGATGTATGTAATTGTGTATAATCGCCTTTTATTTGGTGTTTATTTTTTCCTTTCAGGTTCTGAGAAGATGGAACTATAAAAAGAGGGAATAAATTGGTCTAATTTTTCACTAGCAAAAGTATTGACGATTTAAACAGACTTCACCCTTGATGTATTATGTGTATATTTGAACTTTCACTCAAGAAACATGCCAAAATCGGTTACAGAACTCAAACATTCATTGTTTAGTTAGTAATGTACTGAACAACTGCTAGTGATCTTACTTGTATAAAACTTACTTCGCCATGATGGTGATCGCATATTAAAAACATAACTTGTTGTCGTATAAGTGTTCTCCCTTTATAGAAATTTCATAATGAGATTACTAACTGAACGAACATAATTAGGTTTTGTTTACAATAATTAAAACTTTGTTCCCTTCCAGGCTGACTTCTAATAATAAAAAAAAAAAAAAGTTCACATATGATCGATTTATAACATTAATTCTTTAAATAATTGTTAATTTTTTTCACATGCTGAGTTCACTTATGTATTAGTTCCATTCAAATCCTATTTTAAGATAATAAATATTTTAACTTCCTCTTCCACTATGCGTCTTCTATGATACACAACTTAAGGCCACCAGATGGGGCTAGAGCGTCAATATGACTTTTATAGCTTGCGGTGAAAGGATTTAAATATTTCTATTGGCTTTTAAGCAGCAAAAGTGGGCGTGGCTTAGTGGTCATAGGTGAAGATGTCCTATTAATACGTTAATCTGAGAGTTTTCTACCAATTGGAAAATGTGTATTCAGCTTAGTAACTATGCCTACAACCGATGAAAAACAAAAGATGTAACGTCTCTTTAAAACGACAGTGGTTGATATTATCCAATCAACATTGTTTTATCTATTAGCAGCTTCATTACTATTGGTTTAGTTACAGTAGTCTTATAGAAAGTTATCTGCTAATAATACCTGTTATAACAAAACAGAAATAATAGCAGAATTTTAGAACCATTTCTGGCTTCAATAACTTATATATTTTTATTTTTTTTTTGTCAAACAAGACCGATGTCTG